AGAGAGAGAGAGAGAGAAGGAAAGAGAGCAGGGCGAGCGCGCGCGCGTGTGCTATGGACGGCGCGCGCGTGCGCGCGCTCTGAAATACACTCCAGAAAGGCGCGATCAGGGCACGCTCTGCAGAGAGAAGGACAGAGAAAGAGAAGCTTGAAGAAAAAGAGAGAGAGAGATAGAGAGAAACAAAAAGCACAGCGAGCGCCCGCGGCGCGCTCGCGCGCGCTCTGAAATACGCTCCAGAAAGGCGCGCTCACAGAGAGAGAGAGAGAGACAGAAAGAAAAAGAAAAGAAAAGAAAAGAACAGAAAGACAGAAAGAAGGAATGCAAGCAAGCAAGCAAGCAAGCAAGCAAGGAAGGAAGGAAGGAAGGAAGGAAGGAAGGGAGGGAGGGAGGGAGGAATGAAGAAAGAAAGAAAGACAGACAGCAGGGCGAGCGCGCGCGCTTGTGTGCTATGGACGGGCGCGCTCACGCTCCAGAAAGGCGCGGTCAGAGCGCGGTGCGCAGAGAGAAAGACAGAGAAAGAAACACTTAGAGAGAGAGAGAGAGAGCAGGGCGAGCGCGCGCGTGCTCGTGTGCTATGGACGGCTTACTGGGCTCTTGTCCTCCTCTTGTCCTCAATGCCGACAAAAATTCATTGAGGGTGAAAGTAGGGCGTACCAAGAAATCGATTTTTGACTGATATTGGTCTAAACGAATCGTTTTGAAACTGTTTGGGGTCTATGCTTGTATAACTCTCGCGATGGTGTTTAAAAGTTTGAACCACACTCAGTCTCCAAGTTGTCCCAAAGTGTATTCTGTATATAGATTGTTGAACGCCCACGGTTCCATTCTTTCGAGGCTGACATGTTGATGTCTAGTAATGGACCATGTACTATGACCACTATCGCAAAAGTTGGAACATGTGAAACAACAACAAAAGTTTGACATTGGGGAGCTCAAGTGGATTTGGATCATTTTGGAACTCTTGGGGAATCTAATAATCCAAGTCCCAAATGCTTCGAAGATGTTCGGAACCGACTTCTGTTCCCCGCAGGTTTCGCAGGTCCTCGCGCAGGTCCTCCCGAAGTCGCTCGGAACTCCGATGCCGAAGGAAACGCCAAAGGCGAGCGCGGCCCAGTGGTCGCCTAAGCTGCCCCAGTCTGTTTGAACATGTTTCAAAAGACAATCTTTTGGGCAAAGTACGGCGAAGTTGAGGCTTTTTGGTGCTGGTCACTGATAAACCTATATCTCGTAGGTTTTTGCAAGTTGATCTTCCGATGTTTGTTCAGTCAATGCCTTGGACATCCCGAGTTTGGTGATGAGCATGGCTCTCAGAAGTGGTTGCAGAGATCCTGCCATCTATTAATCTGAACCAGCTGGATCTTGTTCTCAGCACTTCTTGATTTCTCGAAGAACCGTCTTGTGGCTCACATTGGCTCACATGTGGAAAGCAAGAGCTTGACCAGTTCGAGCTTCAAACCTGGCTCTAGGAATGAAAGATGTCCCGGGATCTGGAGAATCGTACCATGTTGATGAAGGAGTTCAAACCAAAAAGAGGAAACACACTGGGAACCTGTAACCTGTCGGAAGATCGGAGGTCCTGAAGTAGGATGAACTCGTCGAAGAAAAAGATGTGCGAACCTTCGCAGGGTGATCACATCGCTCTCGTGACAAACAAAAGGACGAGCCCTTGAATCACTTACAGGTGGGTGCTTCATGGTGCTTCTCAACGTGCAACAGAAAGAGAGTGGGAACCAGCCATTGAATGTTTGGGCTGGAGAAGAAAGCAATGAGTATACCTGCCATTGTGACTCCCAATCTCATATATGTTCTCCAAACTTCAAGAATTCGATGATGTCTTCCAGCCAAAGGCTCATGGGTTTTCAGTTTCAGGCTAGCGGCTAAAGGTTGGTGACTCATTGACATGCGATCAAGGATTTACATCCACGGTCCACTGACAGAAGGTGAAACAGTTCTTCCAAAATGTTGCTTGCTTGAGTCATTTTCAACCATCTGATGGGACGTATTTGGTGGGAATGCACGGGAGACACACAGAGACCGTCGCCTGCAGTGTTTGGCAGATCCGCCGTCGACCGCTTTTTCTGTCGGCGCCATCCGGTGACCTGAAGAAGTTCTTCTGTAACACAACTGTACCAGTCACCAGATCAGAGCTGAGACCCGTGACCAAAGTTGGAAAACGGATTCCGTGCGCCGGTATCAAAGGCAGGGACACCCTGCAGAGGCACAGCCCACGTGGCCAAAAGAGGTAGCTGAGTAGGCCGTTGGTTTGTGGAAGTAGTGGCCTGCAAAAGGGTGAAGCCAACGCGGGAAGTACCGCGAGATCTAAACCAGAGGACTATTCCGATTGGAGGCTCGAAATTCACGGGCGAAGGACTTCTTGCCCGGCCTTTTGTACACCCGGCTTGTGGTTGTCGAAGGGTTGTCAGGAGGGGGGGTGTTGACATGAAAGAGCTGTGAGGTGCTGCCAGTTGTCATAGGTGCACCAGCTAATACCTCCTAATATAAAGGTCCACCACTGCATATATATATATAGCCCCACACACTGCTGCAAGCGGGGAACACTCTCGCCCTCGAACTATCTCCGACTTCTTCTTTGAAGCTTTAGAAGCAGACAGCAGACATTCTTCAACAAACAGGACATCTTTGGGTGTCAACCTTCAACTGAGGTCAGACAAGTTGATTAAAAGCAGGAGAGTTTTCGTTCTTTCTTGGGTTCTCCGTGTTGGTGCATGTATTCAGTTGAGTCGTTTCACACGTTCCCTCTTGGCGCCCTTCCATTCACGCTAAGAGACGCGTTCGCCTGGACAACTTGTGATGATCATGAAATCATCAAAATGACTGGAGGAATCTGGAAGAACTGATTCCCATTGATTCCTCCAGTCATTTATGATGATTTAATGAGCATGTTCTTTCAAGTCCCAGCGTGTCGAGCGCCAGGATAGCGAACCATGTCCTGGCTGAGACTCCTTTTGGCAGGCCGGTCATGCTGCAACAACCTACAATCAGATGTCACAGACGTTCTATATTTGTCTATACTCCTTCGCCCTCATCACGAGACCTTGGGCCATGTATTCTTGGAATTTCGGGGTCTTGACATTGACGAGTCGCGACTTTGTTTGAGCATGTCTAGACTCCGTTCCACCAGAACCCACACCAATCGAACTGCGCGTGGGGTGCAAACAGGTCCAGGACGCCCTCTGCTCTTCTGTCCGCGAAAACAAAAACGCGCGACTCAACAAATCCTACCTGGTCATGGGTGAAGCGTTGAACCCACTTTGGCTCTGGGTCAAAACCGGGACACCCTGGTTGACCACGAAGAATGAACAGTGGAATAGATCACCTGGGAGGTCAACCTACCGATCCGGGTTTTGACCTACACAAACACTCCTTTTTGGGGGGGATGCTTTCCAAGGTGAACTCAAAGTAGACGTCCTCCCTCAACAAAACGTGAACACTCAATTTTTTCTAAAGAGATTTGAATAGGGTGTGTCCCATTACAAGTAACAGCTGGTAGACGATGCTTGTGAGAGGGGCCTGCAACGTAACCATCATCATCCACTTAAATCTGGTCATGGGATAGAGTTTCCGAGAAGCACCACACTCCCACTTGCCAGGCCTCGTAGCACTGGCTGCGGGGAGCGGCACCTTGGTTGACGACTTGGTCTGTTCGGGCTGCAGCATCCTACTGTTGCTGCCTGATGCAACTGCGTTGACCAAGAAATACCTAGGGAGCCAGGATTTGGTATGGGGGCCCCCAATATCAAACAACATGCCCAAAGCATATGACAGTTTGAGGTGGATTCAGGCCCAAGGTAGCCCTGAGGAGGGCATGAGAGTGTATGGACATTCACAAGCCTTAGGGTGAGACAAAGGTGGTGCGAGCAACAGCATGAAGGAGGGACCATGTGACCATTTGTCCACTCACAAAGGAGGCACATGCTAGATTCCCAAAATGCAGTAGGTGTTCAGAAATGCAGATGTACCAGATCCTAAATCGGTGAAACTTGGGACACCCCTTTAGTGAACATCAATCTTTAAGCATTACCTCAATCACTTATAAGCTCGAGTTCTTGAAAGGGCCTATCTCCACATGAAAATTGTTTCTGTATCAATTGCAACCATATGATAACCATATTATAACCCATCTAACCTGCTTTGAAAGCTAGGAGTTTCATCTAAGCTCGAGGAGACTGGACGGCCCACGGTCGACCGAGGTCTCCGCGCTGCCGATGGACAGAAGGCGCCAACGGACGGTCTCGGTCTCGCGTTGCCCGTGGGGCCGGGCAGTCGCTAAGAGGACGACTGGGTCATCACTCGAACTCAATGGATCAAGTGAATCAACATGCCGAATCAGCATGGTGTGGGCATAGCTCAACCTTCAGATACCTTCATGAAGTGAGACATTGGCGTCTCCTGATGTTGCTTCACTGTTCGTCTCCTGATGTTCTGAGCCTGACATCAGCCTGACATCAGAGCTCCAATTGAACATCGCACAAGTACACTCATAAGAACAATCAAACACATGTCACATGCCATTGTTAAAATATATCGGTTATATTCTTTATGAGTATATATATACTGTTTATAATACATATATATATATTGATATATCTCTGTACATATTGTACTATATACTACGTACTCCTTTTTTAAAGTATGTTTTCAGCTTTCAGCTTGAGATCCCCTAAAGGTGGTGCTTCGCAGTTGGACCAACCTCATATGTTTGGGCCAATGTTACGAAAGAGAAACAGAAAAGCTTCCCTACCATGCACAGCTATGTAAGACACAATGCAAACGCGACTTTGTCAACCAGGACGCCCCTCCTATCCCCTCCTGAATCCTCCTCGGCTTATTTTAGCTGCTCACCAGGGCATCGTTGATGAGCTGCTCGACACTTTTAGGTGCCCGGTTGCGCGGTCTTGAGACAAAACGGTTAATTTTAGGGGTTGCAAAGCAGGATGGGCAGTCACGAGACAGGGACTGATAGAGGACCAGAAGGTGGTATTGAAAATATTTTGGTTGGCGTTTTGCTCGGTGAAATAGCAGCAATCACCATCGAACTGGCCTAGAAAGCTGGAGTTTGTTCATTTCAAGTTCATGCGTCCGAGTGAACAGGCCTTAACAACTGGGGTCCACAAACAGATACGAACATTTAATTACTGTATGTCATTTCTTTTTCTGATTCCTCAGTAGCATTTTCAAAAGTAGCCTTTCTATGGAAATCATGTATCCCAGACACTCCATGTATGGCATATTTACCTACATTGACTCCTGAAACCACCCCAATGTAGCTAAATATCATGCAATACATGGAGTGTTTGGGTATGGTTCCTATCTATATAGTTGCTCTAATTTCTATCTCACTCGCATTTTCAGGAGACACCATGCATGCTTTGACATGCATCGGTGGAACTCTACATTCAGTGCATGGAATTGATCTCGCCACACCAAACGAGCGACCGATGAACCACCGGAGGTGAACCACCGGAGGTGAACCACCGAGCCTCGACCAAAAGGTGCTTCCGAGCTTCCGCCGAGTCGCTCTGGGTGCGACAGGAAGAACATTTTGAAGGAGACGACACCTGAACAGTCTGCAGAACCCACAGAGGCCACGGGGAGGGTGTTGATTTGTGTGTGGCCACTCGCGCCACGAGCTGGACGACCAGCAGGGTGAAGGAAGCAATGGAGGTGCTTACTACCTCAAGGGTTTGGTTGCATGTGTGACGTGGGGCTTCACTGACCACTTGACCGCTTGGACGATCCCTCACAAGTTGCAAACGAGACAAAGGATTGGACCGTCTTTATGTTTTTTGAACTTGTGACAAGTTCGCCGGACCTTGGCTGGGGATCTCTAAATGTATATATATGTGTGTGTGTGTCACTCTGTTCCAAAGAGTTTCGGTTCGGTTCATATCGCAGGGGACCAGGCAGGATGCATCGTCGCCTGGTCAACGAAGCTGGCGATGCATCCGAGCATATGGAAATGGGACGCCATTTCCACGTACCTGCTAAAAACTGTTGTTTACGCTGTGACTACACTTTTCCTTTTTTTGTTTCATTGGTGGTTCTTCGCATGATATCCCCCAAAACAGGTTTCCTTAGCTTTGGTAAAGTGCTAGTGCGTTTGTTAAACATTTCTGTTCTTCGGACCCTTTCGCCTTACCGTTCTTGCAGTAAAGTGCTAATGCAGTAACTAGCTTCCGCAGTCACGCAAAACCTTTGTTAAACATCTTCAAGTTTTTCGGACTCAGCCACCTTTCTGTTCCATCGCCCTTTTCGACCTGGGAATAGAGTTAACTGCAAACCCATTGTCAAAGTGTGTCACACCTAAATGATGTAGATTCAAGAACCCAACATGCTTTGGGCACGTTGAGTAACGATGCCAGTGAGGATCACCACTAGTGTGGCACCTTCCTTTTAGGCAGTCTTTTTTCAATATTTGTTGTAGTATCTAGTTGTATCTAACTGTTATGATAGAGATCCCGAAGTCCTTCAACCTTTTGCAAGAGGTTGTCCTATTGTGTTCTTCCCCCCCCACGGCTCCAACCCCTAACAAGAGTTTCATCGACAATGCCAGTGGGAACAGGATGGACCAGAACTCCCCCAAACAGTCTTATGTTCATAGATCTTGAGGAAGATGGGGTCTACCAGAAAGGCCATTCGAGTTGTTCAACGCTCGAAAAAGGATGGTTGCAACAGATCCAAACATCCCCCCCTAGCTTTTGAACAACCCTCCCTATCCTTTTGAACTCTAGGGGGGATTGTTCATGAACTCAATTTGAGTCCTCTGAGTCGAAAGTCTTCCCGGAACCAATTCCTGCTCTGCTCTCAGCCATCGCTCTTTCATCGACTCCATGGACTCCATGGACCGATGTTCAGGAGAGCACAGCGGTGGCAGCCGACTCCTTGACTGAGCAAGAGCACAACCACACCAGGCGCGATAGCGCTGGCGCTTGACTCGACAGCGCTCAGAGGGCTCACCACGTCAGCGCACAGCTGACAGCGCCCCTTGGGTGCCACGTCGACAGCGGACAGGCTGACTGTCAGCCCGAACGGGAGAGGCGTCACGTACCTCCATGAACGCATTCAGAAAGTCAAAGGGATGTTTTTGGGGAATGGATGAATTGAAGGTTGGTTGAATTTTTTGGGGAAGATTTGTGGTCCGATGAATGTGGAAAGATTCGGAACCGGACGGTTTCAGAACAGCATGTCGCATTCGTTGAGCCACGTGACCCACGTGACCCAGCTGGTCCTGTTGACCATTCCGCTGCGACGCTTTGGGTTGCTGCTTCGGCTCAAGCTGCGGCCTCGCGCAGGCGTAGCACCCTTTAGCTTGAGACTGCTCATGCAACAGTCAAAGCGAACTCTCTTAGAGTCCTAGGGACAATACTCAACCCACCCAGCCAGTGGATTAAACCTTTAACATCCTTTAACCTTTTGTTGGGAGTTGTTTTTTCCACAAGGACAGGTGGATAAAAGTTAACCTTTAGGTGCCTAATACAACACGGACGACCTTTTTACGACTGTAATTGCCATATGAGAGGTGGAACGTGACCAGAACTGGGACCTGTAACCTGGGGTACCTATGGGATAGTCTAGTTCGGGTTCTTCAACCTCTGTAGTTATTTCATCTTTCTTGAACTTTCTCTGGTGTTCTTCATGGGAGTCCACACCTATGGCCTGGCCAGCACTATGTTGCCACTGGAAGATGCTTGTGGGAGTCTTTCTATCAACTGTCCAAGAAGGTACATCACTCTATGTTCTTTGTACTTAGAGACTGGGTGAAGGATTCTTGAATTAGAATGTATAGCTTCTGGTGTGTGTGTTTTTAACATTTGCAGCTTCAAAAGCTTAGAAAAAACGGACCATAAGGCGTTCTTTGTAGCTCCACATGGTGTGATCCTCTTGGAAAGCTCACAGACTCATAGCCATAGCCGACTCATCGTTTGGAACCGGACCTGGCCTCGACGTCTCGCCACTGGCGGCGCGCGTGCGCCCCGGTGCGCACCAGTTCTCACATGTTCTCACCCCAAAAGCCCTCCAAAAGAAGCTCACCCCATCCATCCATATCCATCCCATCATTTGACGCCATCATCTCATGGATGCCTGGACTGCTCGCAGCAGTTCCCAGCCCCGCTCCCTGCGCTCCGCGCGGTCCAATCGCTCCAGCAGCAGTGGCAGCGAAAGCCCCAACGCCCGCGGCGCGCGGGGCGCCGGGCGACTGAGTCGGCCTGGCCCGGCGGCGCTGTTGGCCAGGCAGGCGCTCCAGGAGGGGCGGGTTTCAACACAATGGACATGGGAATCATTGGAATAGGCATGTCGACGAGAATGACCAAGTGCCTTTCGAGGAATCTGTGTCAAAGATTCAACAATTGCAAACGTATAAACGTCGCTGTGCGGTTTGAGCCTTGATTCTCACCTCTAGACATGGTGAAAGCCCTTTTCTAGGATTGCTTGCAAAACTCCTGATGCATCAGCATTAGTTGTTTCCTTTTGGATTATGTTTGATCAAGCGTGCGAGGGATGTTTGCTTAGCAGAAATCGATCTCACCTCAAGTATTTGCTTTTAGGAGATTCGTTTCCATTGGTCTCTGACTGTTTTGTGCGGTTACACTAACTAGTGCGTTGTTATCCTGAAAAGGGTTTGCTTTTAGCGGGCGCCACCAATTCTCCTAGCAGGGCGACCCTGCTTTATCCAGGCAACTTAGTCTCCAATGAACTGGAAATTGGTTGATTCATCGGACAAGTTGTCTTGGCACTTTCAATCACAGGCATAGCCTTAACTTATAGCATTATAGCATTGTATAATCTTATAGCTCAAGAACCTGATTGAACAAGCTCAGTTGGCAGACTCGACATGACAGCTGATTCTGCTTACCTTTATTGATGGCTTTGTTTTGGACCGACATAGCTGCCGAGAGCTCAGAGCTAGCTAGAATCATACTCAGAACTCTGTGTTGAACACCCACAAAAGAACCGACATGGCACCAGATGGAACCCTATCTATAACCCCAGTCAAATCGTCAAACCCACATCGTTGTTCGTTCGTCACATCGATCCTCCGTCTCATCGAGTCTCATCAAGTCTCAGGTGTCACCCAGTCACCCACCGAACCTCCACTGTCCATCCCCCCATCCAACGGTGAGGAGTACATCCAAGACCTGGAAAACCAGCTCGCCGTCGCTGGTCATTGGAGGAGCTAAGCTTGCTATAGGCTCTCATGGAGGTTCTGAATGTAGGGGTGCCCGCAGATAATTGATGTTGTGATCAACTTTAGAAAATTCATATGATTTCATGTGGTTGATTGGGACGTCAGGTTTTCGATGTTTTCCTGTGTCTGAAACTCTAGTGAGCCATTTGCTAGCAGGGTACAGTACGTCTCTCCTAAGTAAATGGATGCCCAGATCATTCTTCTCCTTCATCTCGTTGCAACCCAGGTGAAGAATGGCTTGCTCGACGAGGCCTTACGCTTGCACCGCATCTTCCATGGGAGGCGCAGGGAAAGACTACATGCGCTACTAACGCTACTAGTCGCACGAAGCTATCAAATTTGAGCACACCTTCAAGATCCTTCAACCAATGAGTTTTAGTCTTGTTCCTTCCCAGAGGATCAGGGACTGCTTGGTCTCCAGCCTCCCACGTGATGTTTTTCGCTAACGAGCCCAGGGCTCGATGGCCAGGTTAGTCACGCTGAGCGAGGGCCTTGAGAGGAAGGCGCAAGGGCAGACGGGGGAAGCTTGTATATATTCCTGCGGGTCCGTCCAAGGAGTTGTCCAATGGAAGCTTCAAATAGGCACCTTGAAGGCATAGTCAACCTTGAATACATGACGAGACCTGTCCTCCAAAAGAAACCCAGGGCGTCCAGTTACCACTATAGCTGGTAACCAGTGGTTCCAAAGACTAACACCATGGACCTAGAACCCCTGGTTCCTTATATAGTGGTAACTGGGATGCACGGGGAAAGATAGACCATGCTGAACGGTGAAACATGTTGGTCAGATCTTCCTTGGGGGATGGAGGATGGACCGTGACTCAACGGGTTTGCTCCTTCTTCTTCAGTCTTCCATTTCTGCATCACGACACGACAGTTCCACACACCTCGCCGCCAGGACCATCAACTGGCACGAGAGTCTCAGAGCAAACAAGATGCCTGGCGCCAGGCAGGAGGGGTCGTTGGGGGCGTTGGGGCTGATACACAAAAGCCTTCTAGCAGTGGAGATGTCAAACCCTTCTGGAGACGGGGGTTGACATATGATGAACAGTTATCATGAGAGTCCAGTCGGCTTTAGGTCAGCATGTTGGTTTCCCCCCTTGCCTACAATTGCTTGGTGGCCTGTCATGAATTCCTTTTGAACTTGGAAGCAGCTCATGTCCAAATCGAGAAGGACTTGTAAACGGTCAAACGGCATCTAAAATACAGGTGAAAACACTAATTAGGCGAGTATTGGGACATTCAAAACGCCTATTTTTTGTGATAGGAAAGGAATGAGGTAGAGGGAGATTGGTATCTGAAAGGAGAAAGGAGATAATTAACAACTCAATGAGCTCTGTTTTGGGGCAGTTTATTGATCAACTTCAGTCACCAGTGCAGGCATGGGGTACAAAGTGGATGACAGAATCCCACCAGACTAGGGGACACTAGAGGACATTTTGGCGTATGCGGTTTTGGTGCACCCTCGCAGTCTTTTTTTGCAGGTCCTGTACGTAAGCACCAGAGCTCCTTCAACAGGTGTGTCGTGCAGAATTTATGAGTACGACTTGATGTGTTCACTTCAAAATCTAATCCCGGATTTCACAGTCAGGGTTCTGGTGCCTCCATGTTGAGGTCGGTATCTTGGGGGCTGTTGGGGTGCAAACTCCAGTATGCTCAGAACAGGGGGAGCCTCATGATTTTCTGCCGCGCAGGCAGCGAAACAAACGGAAGACTGTCAGCATTGGCGCCAAATGGCTGAGAGCTTGGAGGAGACGGAGGGTCTGAGGGAGACTGGGCATTTCCTTCATTTTGCGAACAACTGGCGTAGTGAAGACAACAGTCGCTGAAGGATCTCTCATCCTCGAGGCTGGGATACACGGAACATTCTCTTGCACAGATTGCACAGCAGAGTAGGTGGCAGGAGCATTGCCAGTGGTTGCCGGAGGCTTCAACAATCCCTTTCGCCGGAGCATTCTTTTGGATATTTTTGGATTAAACAGACCCACGAACCACGCAGAACTCGCGGAAGTCGTTTCCAGGCTTTTGGCTCACAGGAACCCCCCCGGGTATTGCCCTTCCCGGCTCTTGGAAGCCAATCCCGACTGTGTTCAGCGGCCTTTGCACGGAGCAGGAGGAGAACAGTGCCTTGCGGGATGAGCTGGTGGAGTCGCGAGAGAACTACCAGCGCCACTGGGTCAGGAGATCTTCAGCGAACGTAGAAGCCCTAAGGATCCACATACCAATCATCTTCTGAGAAGGTACGACTGGATCCCTAGGGAAGGGATATTGATATATTATATTGATGTTAATTAGTAGGGAAGCATCTCTTATATGGCCAAGGGATGCCAAGGGGCCCAAGGTTCAGCACTCTCTTATGTCTGCTGTACAATGACATCGCAGTGATTTGGGCACGTGAAATGGGTGCTGCACCGCCTTTCCAAAGGATGTGAAACTTAGCCAAAGATCATGTGCTGAGTCGATTTAAGGAGGCTTAGTTGTTCCACATAGATGGTTCACCTGCTTGCTTTTGTGCAATATCCAAGCCGGAAATGCTTGGATCACCACCACCCAGTGTTTCAAGGTCAGTTCAACAAAGAACCAAGAGGTGAGTCAGAGTTATCAGCTGGGGCGCTTTCCACAGCTGGTTCCATCTCACCAGACCATCCCAAGGTCTCCAACACTTCGTGGAGGGTTTCGAACTGCAGAGTGCCGCGCGCACTGTCGGACCTCGCTCGCGGACCATCAGCACCTCGGACGGTCGGAGGGCGCGGTGGAGGAGGGCAGTGAGCCATGGCAGGTGAATCCAATTGGAGCCCAAATGAAGATTCACTGCTTGACACTGGTAGGAACACGAGGTCAGGAATTCCTAGCTCGGGCCGGCGGGACACTTTCTCATATCACTATGTTCGACACTCTATGCAAGTGGCACATTTACATGATTTGAACCCTGAAACAACCACCCGAACCGATCGGTTACGTAAAATATGGGAAAGTCCCAAACAGGTCGCGTCGACCGGGTATTTTCGACACCCGGACCGACGATCTTGGATCTGATCAGGCCAACTGCCTGAAGAGGCACGCGCACCGGAGATCCCCGTGCGCCGGGCCGCCTCGGAGGAGCCTGAGCTGGGGAGAGAGGGACGACAGGACGGAGGTGTAAGGACTGGACTGGTTGAAACCGCCAGCGCGTGGAGAGCTACCTTCCGCCCAAAGGTGGCGTCCAAAGAGAGCTACACTCCAGAAAACTAACATGGACCCGGGTCGAATATGGTCGAATGGCACCCTGAAATAGACTGTTTTCCTTTACCAGTGGTTTTCAGAGTCCATGTTAGTTTTCAGCGGGGTATAGAGGCTATAGCATTCAACCACTTCAGAAACGCTAGTATGATACCATACTATACCTACTATACCTAGGACTGGACCGCAGGCGGTGAACTTGCTGCACCGGATGGACTTCTGTCATCTAAGATGCCTTAAGATGCCCTGAAACACCGCTGCGATCTGTCTATTTTCAACCTTTGAACCCACTGATTCGTGTCGGCGCTTCGTGACGTTCGTAAGTGAGGAGCTCTCGAAGAGCTGCCCGGTGATCACCCGAAGTCCACCACAGGAGAGCCGAGTCTCGAGATCGATCCGGAAGACGAAAGGAAACATGTCGTCTCTTCTTGGGGGTAACAACATGCTTCACACCGTGCCTTCTTTTGATTTTACACATATTTTACATATACAAATGGCGTACGACAAGCATATAATAATTAGCAGATGTATTCCTTTGGCAGAGACACATCGTGTGAATCCTTCGCAATTGCCATGACATAGTGGTGGTCCATGTCATGTTTGTAATAGATCTTCCATAAGTTACATGCTTCATGTGCATATAGATCTACCCAAACCATCCCAAACAGTCACAACAAAAGCATGTATACTCACAACCTTCCGACCTTCCGTTTGGACCTTCACATGACTTCACCGTTTCGGTGTCATACGAAGCCCGTTTCGGTTTTGAGCCGACGAGACGCACGGCGGCGCGACGTCTCTCCGCGTCACGGAGCGGTGACGACGACGAGCGGCTTTGAGAGATCTGATGGATCTGGTACTCAAACCCATCTCAAACACCTCGGAATTTGGACATGGGATGGGACCATGAGCACTTAAGTATCTGATGGAATGACGGATGACCACTTCTAGATGAAACTGTTTCACACTGAGTGACCATGCACTGTTTGGCCCCGAAGTCCAGTGTGGTGTCAGTTGCTCAGCTCGAACAGGAAGCCGCCAACCTCTCATTCTTCTGGAGCCCACTTGAAGCATGGGCCCAGGCCGATGGCGGCGGCCGACGGCCTTTCCCAGATGCGAGACATGTGGAGCAGGAATCCAAGCTTCGATGGATTTTACCATGGACTGGGTCTAGAGATGTCTATAGAGTCTAGATCAGCTTTGCATCAAGAACCAACACACACAACCCTGTATGCAGGTATGCGAACTGCGGAATGACCCCTCATTCTGACCCACTAGGTGTGCACACAGATCTTGACGCGTCAGGCACAGCAACACTTATTGTAAAACCTGTTGCCCTCGTCTTGACAAGTGCAGCATAGGCTACGAATTGTCTAGCAACCAGTTGTTTGTTTGTTTGTTTGTTTGTCCATTCGTTGGTTTGGTTTGGTCTGGTTTGGTTCGTTAGTTGGTTTGGTTCGTTAGTTGGTTTCGTTGTGTTTGTTTGGTTCGTTTGTTTGTTTGTTAACATTTTTTTGTAGCACATTGTAGCCTTTGGCCGCGACCTCAGCCCTTGGGCGCGCGCAGGTGGGGAGCAGCGCCTCCGATCGGTGCCTTTGGCCGGATTGGGATTGGGGCCAGGGCGGCCAGGGATTTGGGGCCTTTCGCATCAATCACTCCGAGTGGGATGGCGGCTTTGCACTTCCTTGCCCATTCTGAGTGGCAGAACTGGGGAAGTGCCTCGCTGTCATTGCCGGTTGTGGATGACCATGTCTTTCGTGGCATTGGTGCGGCCAGTGGCCCACAGCGGGAAGGCTGTTGTGGCACGGCACGGCACATTGATTCTGCCTGAGGGCATGGCCTTGTTGAAGGTCTGGGAAATTGGGCAAGGCAGAACGGCAGAACGATTTGCCCACACGATTTGCGTCCACAGGGCTGCACCAAGTAGCAACGTGGTGTGAGGAGTTGGAGATACTGCACCCCTCTCACCAACTTGTAACCCCAGATGACCCCAGCTAGAGGAGTAGAATTGTTTGTGGAGTATATATCTTGCATGATTTGATCATGATTTCTTAGACATCTTGAGTAGCATCAAGAAATCCGAGAGTTGCCCACCAAACCCCACAAGCTTCACCAGCAAACTTTCCATATTGCGACCTCCATTGCTCTTCCGAGCGCAGGTTATGTGGAGTGAGCTTGGAGCGCTACCGAGTGGAGGTGAGCGGTTTTCAGTCGATCCAGGAGTAGCCAGTAGCTAGTAGAAACAAGTGCCACGCTAGTAGTAACAAGTGCCTTACTAGTAGTAACAAGAAGCTAGTAGAAACAAGTGCCACGCTAGTAGTAACAAGTGCCTTACTAGTAGTAACAAGAAGCTATTATTTTAATTTTAATTGAATTCTAATAGCTTTTTGTTACTACTAGTAAGGCACTTGTTACTACTAGCGTGGTGGAGGTGAGCGGTTTTCAGTCGATCCAGGAGCAGCCAGTCATAGTGGTGTGAATATCGTTGATCCGCAGATATCCACAGACTATGGGAGGAGCCCTGGCAGCTGGAGCTGGAGGGGTTACTCTTGCTGTTTGTTGCCACTTTTCTTGGACGTGGTAGTGACACATACTGTAGAATTCATAATAGCCTACTATAGACGTTGTGTAAACGGCCCAACGGTAGGTTCAAGATGCTTCAAGGATGTTCAAGGGCTCTTCTCCTTGCATGGCTGCTTTATGCTGCTTCCCCTGCACTGGGAACTTAGCGAGTCGGATCCGGCCGTGGGAGACCGGACCGAGGTGGTTCCTCAACGATTGGACCCGGTGGACGAGGCCAAAATCGAGGCGTTTTCGGGCCGTCGGCGCTCGACCGGGGGGGACGGAGTGAAGGGCGGGGGTCCTATGTGGGTGGAGATCCGGGTCCTTCAGGAAGCACCCGTGAAGGGTAATTTCAAGGGACATGGATTTGATGAAAACAATGGCAGATTTCCAGATATTTTTTCAAAGATGCCCAAAGCAAGGGTTTTTGCAGGTTCAATTTGCCTCGGACCTTGTAAGAAGGTCACACATCTTGCAAGAAAAGATGGGGAACTTGTAAGGAGTTTGGGGTTCAACACGTGGCAAACCGTTGCCAAACCCCTGTGTTAACCCGCGCTTTTCCTTGACAGAATCTCAGTGTTGGGTGAAACCCCAAGTTTCATCCATCCAACGCACTGCGTGCAACCATGCACGACTACACAGGTGCTGCGGGAAGCCGAGGTTTCATGAGGGTTTCGGACAGGCTTTAGTGTACACATGAGCAACAACTTTCATTTAGGCTTTACCGGCATGCTCTATTTGTTTGTCTATAATCAGTGTTCGCTTGTGAACGAGATAGGGCCCCCACATAAACGATAGTATAAAGTAATCTGAACGAGATAGTGCTACTAAAGTAGTCTGAACGAGATACTGTGACATGACCTCCTGCTTAAGTAGTCTAAACGAGATAGGGTCCCCGCATAAGAGATAGTGTACTGTACTTGTGCTAAGTACCAAAGTACCATGCCGTCGCACACATGATCAGATGTCCAAGGAAGAGGCAATTAGAAGTTCCTCACACCGCTTCATGACATGGTTGCCTCCTGCATGAATGAGTTTGACACTGGTTTCATCCTCGTGTGGAGACGATAGAAGGGGGAGGCCGGGCGACACACAGGACCCCAAAGAGGATACCAAGAGCTTGGAGTCGAACTCAAAGGAGGCAAGTTTCGACTCGGATCGGGCCACGCAGATCTATTTGGCCGAGGGAGGTTGGAGGACCATATTTTTGATGGATGCTTGGTGTTTGTCCGTTCTTTGTGGGGCATCAAGTTGAAACACTTGTTTGCTATTTGCGGGCGTTTGGGGTTCGAACAGATCCTAGCTAAGGCGGTTTCGAGTGCTGTTGAAACACTTCCACAAATCAAAGGCGGACTGAAACGGGGGTCCAGTGTCAGTGTGGGTTCCCTTGTTTTCACCACACACCTGGCCAGCGGGGTCAGCTGGGTTTGATATAGTTTGATTGCATCCACAGTCCACAGATGCCGCAAACTAACTTGACAAACAGTAGAAAACTGAATACACAGCAACAACAACAACCACAACCACGCAACAACAATCCAAATCAATGAGATCTTCCACGTGCAACATGTGTTGTTTGATTCTTATGTTATGTTGAAATATGTTGAACCCACGACCAAATGCTTTGTCCACACATGTCCACACGCCACGCAAGTTTGGCCAGTCCATGTTGATCCAACCTTCCAAGGGTTTGGATCCGGGGTGTCAAACAGATCGGTGTTCTGCACCCGGCGATCAGGTTCCGACACGTCTCTTGGAGTTCCATTGTGGGTTTGAGTGGGCGAATGTCAACGGTTTGGTGCCGTTCCCAGGCAACACGTGTTTTGGTGAATGCAGTGCTTTTGACATTTGTTTGACATGTTTTGATGATTTTTTAGTTCCTTTGAATTATTTTTGCCTTTGCTAATTACATACTTTTGGAATACAGGTTCTTGGAATTTACCTAGCGGGTGCTGCTCATGTTGAGTTTGCCCCTCCAGATCATCCACTCAAAATAGCTGCCATCGTGCCTTGTTTTTTCTCCAAGCTGCCAAACCGGATGTGTCCCACGGGATTCAATATGACTAACCACTAAACTTGCAATATGGTTCCAAAGACAGAACACCATAGACATCCATAGACTTAGAAACCCCGGTACAAACCCTGGTTCCGTCAGCGACCCAATCAGATTCCTTCAAAAAGAACCCACGGTGAAATGGAATTGTTTTGTGGCAGACAATGTGCAATGTGTGCCAAACTAGCGAAGACCCTCCAACAACAGTGCTACTTGTACCTATATATATATATATATAGACGGAGCATAGCAAAATAGCAAATAGCAATAGCGGCAAATAGCGGCCTCCCACTCCCAGCCTCCCCTTTTCGAACACCCTTTGCTGTACAGCCTGAAGTTCGCTCATCCTGCGTACCCGATGAAACCTTTTGGGGCACCTGCCTTGCTTGACCGCGGCTCCGTCCACTTCAGGTGAGTTGCTCCGCACCCCGCGTGGGACGCTCCCCGAGCACGTGCCGCTCGCCGCCGCGAACCCGGCGCCGACGAATGCGGCGCCGCTGCACGGCGGGGCCTCACCGGTGCGTGATGCACGGACGCCGCTCGGTGCAAATCGTGATCGTGCGAGCTGGGAAGATTTGGGAGAAACACAATCCAAAAAGACCTGGTGTAATTTCCTGAAGTCTCAAAGTACCTTAAGAATAGAGATGGATACACGATCACACGTTATTGGATCATCTCCCGTATTCTAGAGTACTTATACTTTGCAGGGAGAGTCCAGGTAGATTGGAATGAGAGATTTGTCCGGTCTGAGAGGTGTAGGACATGGAGGACAAGAGTAGGCAACATTCAACATGAGACTCTTGAATCGATGAGCTTGGCAGGAACTGTAGTGTATAGCAGGAACTCAGGTTCACCAAGGTCAAAGAAACTGTAAGTATCTTGGATTATTTTGCAATGATCTTCACGATCATCCACCACACAGTGGTTTCTAAATGTGTCTAAAAGATCCATCAGCAACATTCACCACATTCCATGCAGCATGCATACGATATGCATTGATCTAGTCATCGATAGAATACTATACCTCCATTACTCCCCTATGTGACCCAATGCCATTGGTTTCCTTTGAAAAGCTCCACGTCTCGCGCGCGCACGCGCGGGCGAAAACGTCGGACTGTTTCGAGGTCCATCAACTTGGCGCTGCCCATCCCCAGCGCCGGGCCGGGACCGCCCTCAGGGCCCCAACCGGTGACGAGTCTGGCGAGGAGTTGGGGGCTGGGTGGGACCCGGGTATTTGTAGATTGAATATGATTAAAATAGAGCTTTTATAGAGCTTTTCACTTCAGGTCCTTCCCAAAGTCTTGAGCCTTTTGGTCCGTAATGATCCAACACGTGCTGCCTCCCCGCAGCAGCACCGCGTGTGTTCTATTCGGACATGAAATTCAATTGCGGAACGAACGCCCAAGGCACTTCCTGTCATGATGGTATTTTGGGGGAATCGATTTGTGGCTGGGGTTCCAGAAACGTGTTTGCTGACTTGACCACCAACAATTCCCTTGCTTACTGCATTTTCCATGAGGCACCATGAACTTCTAGAACGGAATGGCTTTGATTACTGTAACGTGATCCAAGGCTCTCACGTGCAGCTGGATTTTCACGGGTGAGATCTTGTGTGCATGTGTTCAGTTCCAAGAGTTGCAGAACTCACTCAGCAGTTGTGAAAGGAAAGGAAGATGATCCGTTCGTCTCCAGCCAACTGGAACTCACCAGTCACAGGGCGATTCGCACGGGACTCAGGTCCGGTACTTGCAGAATCTTCAGCCACCTAAGCCAGGCGCTGGGATGGAACGGCCACGGCACGTGGAAAGGCAGATGTTGGAAACAAACTTCACCGTTTTCCCTGGTTTGCCTGCAACTTCTTGTGGGTCACAGTCACAACTCAGAAATTACACCACTGAGACCTCCATCTTTTCATCAATCACCACTTACTCACCACCATCCAATGGTGTTGAACGCCGCGCTTAGCGGCGCGGTTAATTGGTTCATCCGCTTTGCTGACCCTCATCTCAATTAAGTGATGAACTGTGATTGATGTAGATTTTCCGCCCCAGACATCCTGTATTGCTCGATGTGCGAGCGCAGATGACCTAGCCCTGTGGGTATGTCACTTGAACCACATTTGCCTAAATCACTGAATCACTAGACTCACTAGACAGTAGTAAATATCTAGATTCATGGTTCATTCCAATCCTCCCATGTGTTCGACGGCAAAAGAAGCTGATTCATTCTCATCGAATTCCATACGCACCGCCGACGCACCGCGATCCGCAGATCCCACGTTTTACTCCAAGTCGCCCTCACCGGTCCAGCAAAGGCTTGGCTCGGACGGTCCGGACGCAGGGGGTGATTTGGTGCGCTGGTTCGTAGTTCGACATGTGGGTGGCAATGTTTGATTTGAGCGGTTAACACGTTGGCTTATCTTGTTTCAACACGTCTGACAAGTTTTTCGTAAGACAATTTCTAAGTTTCTATCCTCAACCTGCTTTGAATTATACTCAATTCAAGTACCAGCCGCTCGGCAAGAGCTCTTTCGATGACACTCTGCAACTACATCCTACCCCTCATAGATCCCTGCAAGACATCCAGACCAGATGTCTCTGAGATAAAAAGAAATCGCAATTGAATCTCCTGTAGTGCCATCCAAATTCACCCCCTTGTGACTTGGGGAACCGTTCGAACATCCTCAAAGGATCGAAAGCAGACCGGCTCCGACCCCAGAGCCTCCAAATCGCCCGAAAAGGTGTCGATTCATATTAGATTGTCCACTGCACCACCCCCAAGGGGTGGGTTTTGATCATGTTCGATCGATGTTCTCTACAGCAGTGAAATCGTGTGCCACAGGACGTTTGCACCTGGTTGGTTTCGGAACTGGCACGCAGCACTTGACGTCTTCAACACTCAGCTCGAGACCAGTTCGAGACCCTGACAGATCTACCTCCTCCAATAGAAGTGAGCATTTGGCTAGGTGAAAATACTGGATCCCTTTCCCCTCACCAACACCAACAGCAGTTGAACTGCCCAATGCTCACTCGCATGACTCGCCGCTGGTACATGACTCATCGTGGCGCTTCGCAGCTTTCAGGTGGCACACGCAGGTCAGCGCGCCCATCAGTTTACCGCTGCAGCCGACGCGGACGAAACGCTGAGGCGAGAGGTCGATGCGGCGCGGTTCTCTGGGGCTTCGGCGGGGGATGCGACGGTGTGTGGTCAAAGCAATGTATTAACCACTTGGCTAGATTCTGGTCCATTGCTCAGTTTAAGGCTCTTTCGAGGTTCTCACTTTGGCCACCAAGCTTGATATCAAAGTAGAGGAGACACTCCACGATCATTACTCCAACCTTTAAATTGGGGTGGTCAGTCTAAATTTCTTCCAGTGAGTCTTCCTGTGCTTTGCAGGGGCTGGCACCCTGCCATTGGACATGGAATTCCTTCTCTGTTGGATTCCGTGAGTCTTGCAGGCATCATGTGCTTGGTGAGTTTGCCATCATATGTTGCGTCTTCTTGAGCAGGTGGCTTTAAGACCATTCCAAGATGCCAACCAAACAAATACTTCAATGACTTTACGTCACACTTTCTGCTTAGGTGCCGTCAATCTACACCTTGTACCTCCCACACCGACAGGCCTTTTTTGACACTGAAAAGATAGAAGATGATCTGATTCTATGAAACATGAATAATCATGAATAAAAGTCAGTTAGCTACACAATGTTATTGCAGTTATATATACTAGTTATACAATACAATGATATACCAGTTCTCCGTCCCCTGCGGTATGTCCGATCCAAACCACACCCACTGCGTCCCACTGCTGCGACGGTCACAACGATGGCACGAGGCGTCGACGGTCGCCGCTGCCGCTGCCGGCGTGACCTCTGCGATCCCAAAAAGACGGCAGAGACGTTGTGCGGCGGTCGTCTTTAAGTACAACGAATGTCTCAGAGTTGGGCGAGTTCTGAGCTGAATTGTTTCTCTTCCGAAAACTTCACAAGGGTATATGAGCTGACATGAGCTGAATATTGTGTTTTTCTTTCTTCTGATGGCACAGAAGCAGAAACTTATCAAGAGGCCTATAGGAAATACCTGGTCACTTTTTGCTTTTAAGTCTTCAATAATGTTTCAGAATTCAAGTTGTGTTTTTCACCATCGGTCTGTTTGGAAACTACACCCCTTTCAAGCCAACCTTCCCTCACTTGATTTCATGGCGCCCCATCCATAAACGGCATCCTCCTCCGGACCCGCGCGCGTGGCAGGGAGAAGGGCAAGGGCTCGGGTGGTGGGCAGATCCTCACAGTGCCTCTGAACTCCGAGCTGCAAGAGGTGCAGTCGCACTCCGAGTGCTGTGGAAGCCATGTGAAGGGGGTCATGGGTGTGTTTGGAGCGGAAGGGCCGATGGAATGCGTTGCAATTTAAAGAAAGACTGAGAGAAAAGAAACAGGTCTGAACAAAATCTATATAAAGGTTTATCACTTATCACTAGAAAACAGGTTCAATTAGATGACACACACACACATAGACATCCAAACAAAGCGAAAGAAGATGGTCACGCGGAAGCAGATAATGGTCTTGACTCGACTGAAGGAAGGATCATACCTAAAAACTCATCAAGATTCCAGTGCAACACCTCCCAACAATCAAGCATAGACTTCTCTACAAGTGACCTATAGAATCCTATAGATAAAAGTTGATAAACATGTGACCCTTTGATGTGCAGACGCAAGAGCTTCATTGGGAGACTTCTTTAATTTTGCAGACGCCTTCGACTTCTCGCTTTTATGGCTCAGCTTCAAACACAGAATCGCTTCGCCACAGAACCCCAGACGCGGCCGGGAGCTTCGCGGCGCTTTGCCGCATTTGGGCTTCGTCCAGTTCGAAGGAGTCCAGTTTGGTGTCACTCCGGTACTCCTTTGATTCTAATTACTAATAGCTTCTTGTTACTACTAGTAAGGCACGTGTTACTAGAAGCGATGCACTTGTTACTAGTAGCTTCTTGTTACTACTGTGCGGATGACATTCCCGTTCGAGATGATTTAAATCCACAGCTTTAAGACTAGAGACTGACAGGATCAGTTGCAACAATCTGCTCAGTCGCAACCAGAACGAATCGTCTCTTGCAAGATCGTCCCTTCCATCCTCCATCTCCTGCCTTTCCCAGGCAAGTCGAATGGCTTTGAGTGACTCGGCAGACCAAGACCAGTTGCGTGAGTGCAAGTCTTGCAAGCCATTTTTCATGCCTTCAGGTGACATTTGGCTCTTGGGTCTTTTCGGTGGGCATGCACTGAATAGAACATTGATAGATCCAGCGTTTCTACATCAGGAGATATCAAGAGCAAGTTGATTCATGATCCAATATATATGTTTGAGTCTGTCTTAGGGGTTTGTACGTTGTTGGTTGATCAACTGTGCCTAGTTCCTGGGCCCAAAAGCCACGAACTTGAGGCCACCAAGGCCTGAAGGTCCAGTGCCACTCCTTTGTTGGAAAGGGTCCCTGGGTGGACTTTAAGACGATCCCTATAGAAATCAGAAGATTCGGCTGGAGCGTCAAATCTTGGATTCCTCCAAGCGGGCCAATGAGCCAAAAAGGACCCAAGTGGTCTAAAGGATGTTTCTTTCATCAGAACTCTGAAGGCACGCTCTATCAGAGCAGATCATGAGAAAAGGGGAAGTTGCGGAAGACCTGTTTGGTCTTCCTAGTTTCCTATAGTTGGTTTGCTCATCTTTGTTCATGTTTTTTCCCTTATTTTCCTCAATGAGCCTCAAAAGCACCTGCCGTGCCAAACCATGGAGACCTTGAAGACATTCCGGGAGAATGACCTCCCGCTTAGGAAACGTGCTCCTGGCCTTCACATTCATCGCCACCGGCGGGTTGCTGCACCCTGGCGGCCCTGGATGACCGTTTTGGGTGTTTGACGTGGATGGTGGTTTGAGGGCTTGGTCGTGGGTGAATCCAAAGAAAATCGCACGTTTTTACTTTTATGTTTCTGAGTTCCAGGTATTTGAGGCCGTGCATGGCTGTGCGAGTTCCAATCATGCCTAATTATCACACTAGAAAGTGGTGCAATTATAGAGTTCAAGTTGGACACTTTTGGCTGTGCAACCGGATCACAAGCATCCACCGGATCACAAGCGTCCGTGCTGTTTTTTGGGTTTACAATCCTTGAGGAACCCCACTCCAAACGCTCCAAAGCTTCTCTCGGAAGATTTGATGTCCTGAAAAGCCTCACCCAGTCCGAAGGGAGTTGATTCGTTTACCTGGCAGCTCTGGGCTTTGGGCCTTGCCTTTTCAGGTTTGGCTACATCATTGGCATCAACGGGAACGTGGTGACCAAGGCAGTCTCGCGCGCTGCGACAGTCAGTTGTTGTGAATATTGCGATGTTTGTTTGGACCGGATGTGTTTCTTCCATTTTCTTCCCAGATGAATTTGATTGTCATGTTCAAGAGTTCTACAAAGAGCATCCTAATATTATAACTAAATTAGTAATTAACTTCTTATAATGCTGAATATCATATCTTATAATAATCAGTCTGATCTGGCTCTTTAAACACTGAGTTGCCCGCGTCACCGTCCGCCACCGCCACCGCTCCAGGGCCAGTTGATTTGCCCCGACGGCTGGGACGGTCCGGTGGGCACGTGGCGAAGCACCGGCTTTCAGCAGTGCCTTGGACCGGGGTGACAGGTGCACCCGTGGAGGTGGGATGAGTTGGGTGGGCGTTTGAGTCATGTGGTTTGGTGATGTTTTGTTTGACCTGGTGAGTGGTGGAGAAAACGTCAGCTCGTTGAACGCCTTTGGACAGTTGGTTGATGAAGGTTGGTTGGTCGCAGGATACATATCAGGATATTATAGCAATGAAACAAGATAATAATGGATAAGAAGTAAAACGATATCAGCATACCGATTACCAATGATTGATTTGAAGAATAGAAAGTGCTTTTCTTTGACACGTGTTTCATGTGCACGGGCCCATGATCCTACCACCTTGAGCACGCCAGATGTCTTTGCTTAGCCTCAAGTCTCACATGCATCCCGCTTTTGGGTCGACCAGCACATGTCGGGGTGCTGTAGATTGAGATTCGGCAGTAGGCATGGAGCGAGATGGCCCTGTCTCTTCCCCTTAAAAACGAATGAACATACAGCAAGGACATGGGAGAGACATGGGAATCGATACCCAACGAATGGGTAGACGGGTCTCTAGGGGTCGGACGGGCAAGTCTCCACAGCTCGTCGGACTCTCTTTCCTCTTGCGTACCGCCGAAAACTCGTCGTCTGTGGCCACTGAAAACTAATTCCTAATTAGATCTAATTGGCAAGGTTGGTCTTGTGGCAGAGGTCCCGAAAAAAACATTGGCCGTAAGCTTCTCAGCCACACTGGAAAACCATTCTGGAATGGGCTCTCCTTCCACCGGTGGAGGCTGGCTTTTAACAAAAATCTCACCTATCACCGCACACAGAAGTGGCGGATATTCTTTGAGACGTGCGAGTCGGACCAATTACTGTAATAGACAAATCCTCTAATACCTGATTCTGGGTCACTCATGATGTCATGGTGAGTCCCAAGGAAAACCAAGCCCTGCTTATAAATCTTATTTCGCACCCACGAAGAAACATGCTTTGTCAACTTATTTTTTGTCCACCAATGACCGATTGTCGGTGTGGTTGCAAAAACTACAGACTGACCGACAGGTGTTGGCACTTCAGCGCGCCTTGGCAGCCTTAGCAGTCGATGCCACGACCTGACGATTCTTTTGGTCAACAGACACGTGAAACCACCACCACCACCACCACCCCCGCCGCCGCCGCCACCACCACCACCACCACCACCACCACCACCACCACCACCACCACCGCAAGAGCGCTCAGTTTTACACAGCTCTTTTTGGTGTATATGGATCCCCAAATAGATAGAACAGTAAAATCACGTAAAATCCCTTTCAAAAGGTATTGGATCTCGCGCCATTATTTGATAGTGGGGACCACTATAATTAAGTCACTTGCGATGTTCAAGATGAAGGTATGAGACCGTTCAAAGACCCGATGGGTGAACAATATGGACTAGGCACATTCTGTAAAGCTTTGAAGCCAAAGTCGAAGCCTTGTAGCCCCCATCCCTCACAAACCGAAGCCAACAGTAAGTTATGGAAATTTGGTC